AATAGTTTACAAGCAGGTCTTCAGAAAAATGAAAGGAATTTTAAAGTGCCCAAATGGACCAGGGAGGGTAATCCAAATATTGTCTCTGGTGATGCTCCTCTCTGAATCCATTTCCTCCTTCCTCTGGTCTCCCTAGGGCAACCAGCTTTCTCAGGCTGCCCAGTCTTAGTCACACCTTTCCTACCGGTGTTAACCTTCTTAAAAGGCAGAGCAGTGTGGAGATGGTGGTAGTTTTTAAACAAAATAGTACTCTATCGGAGGTGAGTTTTTGGCACAATGGCCCATACCAGGCCTTCTCTGGGTCCTTTCCAGCACACCTAACACTCTCTCTGCCTGGCCCAGAGAACTAGGACTTAAGAGTGTCTCCATCTTTTACTTGAACCTTCCTCACGTTACCACCTGCTGCTCTTCTACTGTCTGGTCTGTCTTTGTGCACTTTTTAACCCCCCTCCCCTTTTTTTCAGACTTCATTAAATTAATACTTTTTATTGCTTCATCAAGGATATTCTTAATTACAACAATTTTTGACTCTCAGTGTGTGGTGGGGAAGAATACAATAACTACTAACGCAGTTTGGTGACACTGCTTTGATTTGTGTTAAGGCACTAGAAGTTTGACCCACGATTGCTTTTGCACCATCAATGTAAACTCCAACACCATCAGTGCAAAAGGCAAATCTTAGTGTGACAAGAGTTTTGACTTTGTGGGCCTCCTGAAACGGTCTCAGGGACCCCCAGGGATCCACAGCACACACTTTGAGAACACTGTAGTAGATAAAGTAGGAAATTCATAGGTAAATAAGTCAAAGCCTTGACATCAAATTATTCACCATCTAGTCATGGAGGTCAATTCCCTGACAACTAAAATCCAAGCTGGAATGGGACAAATACTATAAGACCTTAAATTCTGATTAGCCCTCTAATCAGTTCCTGATCACCTTCTTTCCTTAGCAATAAGACAGAGTGTCCTCAAGCAGGGCCTTCTTTGCATACAGCCTGCACCTCTCTCAGCCTAAATCAAACAAGTTTCTATCGAGTTAACTCTACTTATGGTGTCCACATGTATGTCAGAGTAGAACTGTGCTCCATAGGGGTTTTTTCTTTTTTTAGCTTATTTTATTTTTTGTTATTGTTAAGAATAGACACAGCAGAACATTTACCAATTCAACAATTTCTACATGTACAATTCAGTGACATCGATTACATTCTTCAACATGTGCAACCATTCTCACCTTTTTTCCAAATTGCTGCTCCTCCATTTGCATAAATTTACTGCCCCCTAAGTTTCCTATCTAATCTTCTGAGTTGCTACTGTGAATTTGATCCCATATAGATAGATCTTGAAAGAGCACAATGCTCAAGGCAGACGTTCTTTACTAGGTAAGCTAAAATAAACTATTGTTTGGTTTAAAGACTTCAGGGGATATACCCATCCTTTTTCTTATTACCAAGGAGCCCTGGTGGCGCAGTGGTCAAAGCGTTCAACTGCTAACTGAAAGGTCAGCGGTGGTTTAGTGGCTCCGCAGGAGAAAGACGTGGCAGTCTGCTTCTGTAGAGATTTACAGTGGGTTGGTTTTGGGTTTCTTATTACCATTATCTTTTTTGCATTCTTCTGTATTCTTCTCTCTTCCCTTTTCATATATTCACACAAAAGGAAGTGCCACAGCTTTTGAAAGTGCAGGGTAGAATTCAATTTCACATGGAACACAAATATCCTATTGAAAAGTATTTGTTGACTGAAGGAAGGAATGACATCAATGACTGTACTTACTTCATTCCCCCTAAACTTGCTCTTCCACCCAGGACCTTTCACAAACTAACCACCAACTGGAATACTTGTAGAATATTATCTGTTGTTCACAGTGACAGTACAGAAAACATTAATTCTATAAGAAGCTTAAGGAGGACCAGACAACTATTCTGGCCAATATTTTCAACATGCCAAAAGATAATCTTTCAATATAGGAAACTTAGCCCCTGTATGGTTATGGACTAAGTAGAAATTAATTTTGATACTTAGCAATTGGCTTCCCAAACAAAAACAACAGTGAAAAAGGGATGGAGGCCCTTATGCTGGACACACTAAATTTTTCTAAAAACATAAACACTAAAGATGAAAATGGGCTAGACAGAAACACTTTAGCTGCCATTAAAAAAGGAGTTTTTCCAAAAACAAATAAAATGAAAAATAAATGAAAGGTGCTTTTCTAAACCCATTTAAGATATAGCCACTAAATCTTTCACTAGAATCACATTTTGAAAATGTATAGACCCATGTACTGCTAGAACAGGAGACACTGCAGATCACGGCAGCACTCCACAGCCACAGAGCTCAGAGTGAAGACCCAGAACGCAGCAGCCTTCCTAACTTCCACCTTACTCCATACACTGCCTCCCCTGCTCAGCACGGCCTTGCTCCACTGCTCAAACACTACAAACCATGACCACAAAAGCCTCCATCATTAAAGATTTAAAACTAGGAGAGGAAAATAGATAAAAATGACCCAGATTCAAATGTAATCACATCTGAGTATAACCTAACAGGGAGGGGGCAGCTGTGGCAAAACACTGGATTGTGAACCAGGCTTCCCAATGTCATTACATGAACTTGTTCAAATCATGTAACTTCTTAGCGCCTTGTCTGATCTCTAAGGCCCCTTCCTGCTCTACTACATTATGATGTTATAATTCTGAACCAGAAATGTGAGTGAAATCTGGATTCTAAAAATGTGGCTTTTAGAGAAACAAAGTTTCTCAGGCCAAAAACCCAGGAGTGATATTGATTCTGCTTTCACCCACACAGCAGTTGTCCTGACTCCTCCTCCAAGGCATAACTGGCACCAGTCTCTTCTTGGCACTTCTACTGCCTCTTTCCTCAACTCAAAGCCAGAGCCCTTACAATGGCCGACAAGGCTTATGTGGTATGGCTCCTCCTACTTCTCTAACTTCATCACCTACTACTCTCTCCTTTCACTGCCCTCTGGCCACACTGATCTTCTTAGAAGAGCAAGTATGGTCACATATCCAGCGAGAGGCAGAAGTAGAATGGATCAGGGATGTCTGACCCCAGAACCACATTCTTTCCACTGTGCCCCACCAAGGAACACAGACGGGGTACAGGAAGGCAGCTTCATGGAACTTCCAACAGGAGACAGAGCACCCAGTAACCACAGGGATACATGCTTTCCCACCCCCTACCCTTCTTCCTTGTACAAGGCTTCTGCTGCTTTCCAGCAGGACACAGTTGCTCAGCTGGAGAGATACCAGCTCACTGCCACTTAAGTCTGCCCTATCCCTACCAGCCAGGACAAAAAAATGCAATTACTAAGGATTTCTATTTCTGTCTTCATATAATTATCGTAGATTTTAAATAGGTTTCTCTTTCAATGAAAGAATTCTTTATCATCTAAAAGTATCTATTTTCAAGTCAGTTTTACTTTTGATATTGAATAAAACCTTGTAACTATAGCTTCTTAGATTCCCATCTCGAGGCCTATGCACATGCTGTTCTCTCCTCGTGGAATGCTCCTCCTCTACATGTCTACATATCTGTGTGGTTCATTTCTTCACTTCCTCAGGTCTCTGGCTCAAATATCATCTCCTCAGAGAGGCCTTCCCATCTAAAAATTACCCCTACCCAGCCCTGGCACTCTTTATCCCTTCTAATTTTTTTTTCCCATAAGACTTATCACTCTATTTGCATTATTTTTAATTGTCATTTGCCTCTTTCATCACTAGAATATAAGCTCTATAAAAGCAAGTGCTGACTGACCATCCCAGAAGAAGAAAGTTCAGTAGAGAATTCCAAGAGCCTGGCAAACACTCCTCCACTGTTTTTTAGGCAGGATTCAAACTACCCACTATCCTCCAGACAAAGACTCTTCTCTCCTGATTTCCACACACAGCATTCCACTTAAACTTATTTTCAGAACTGAACAACATTGATCTCTTCCATTTACTGGACCATTGATATTTTCAGAATACAGCACTTACAATGAAACCAGCTCTGGAAGGCTTTTTAGCATTAGTGAGCAAATACTGATGTCAGCTGAGTGATTCTCATCAAGTCTCTTGACAAGCTGGTTTACACATGCCATTTTTGATCATTTGAGCTACTTAAACTTTTCAGGCTGAGAGTGTGGCAATGGGAAAGGCAAGCCACAGGCGCCAAGTGGTTAATTATATTTTTATTACTAATTGCATGCAGTACTGTGCTATCTTCTCACAGTGGAAATAACATTTAGCCATTTGAGAGTTCTCCAAATTTCCCTTTCAGTTCTCCCAAGGTCAACGGACCTTGGAAAAGGAATCATACTGGGTAAAGAGAGCAAACTACATCTATTATCCCCATTCTCTAGCAATTACAAGGAAGTTTTCTCCAGGCTTGATGAATATTCTTCTTTGCACTTCTGTCTCAACCAGCCAGTTATAAACTGGGCTTTCTTCAGTTCTTATTTCTCCAAATTACCTAACCTAAACCTGGAAGGCAAGAAATGTGGCTGAGTAATTTCTTTAGCAATGCCCCTCCTCACGTACTTCAATCAGGCACTTCAGTCAGGTTTGAGGCCCTCTTTCGTTTTTCCCCCTTCTTTCCAATAGAACTACTAACCCTATGACACCAGAGAGGAGGTGCTGGCACAGCAACAGTCAGCGGACACCATTAACTAAAATATCATGTGAAAAGAACACCAGAGCCCGTGCCTGAAAAAAACCTACCTTCCTGAAAGGCCTGATCATGCAGAGATGGGAAATTCTTTATTATCATGTTGTAAAGAGCTGATTCCAAACCTGGAGTCCCATAAAGCCATGGAGCCAGGTGCCAAATCTTTCATCCTACAGCTATTTAGTGGGAAACAAGTTCAGCTCTATGTCATGGGAGAGCCCACACAGGCAGTAGAGAAGAACTTTCTTTCACTTAGCAGATTATGAAAATGTTGCATCACTTAAACAGTGTTCTTTGATGACACCCTTGCCCCAGCCATGCTACTCTCCCAGCCTCACCGACAGATGTCCACTAGCTGGTCCAGCTCAGGGCAGCTGCACTCGAACATGTCCCGGCAGCTCACATGGCTTTGATTCATTAACTCCCCCAGCAGCTGGACCACGTTGTCAGGTGCTTCCTCACATATCTTTTTAAACTGGAGGACTCGTGCTGCCTCGCTGTACACGTGCTTTGCGCGCTGGTAGAGTTTGAAGTGGAGCACTTAGGAAGAAAGAGCAACAAGCTTAGAAAGGGCTACTGGAAAACCCAGGACAAAAATATGCAATTATTAAGGATTTCTATTTCTGTCTTCATATAATTATTGTAGACTTTAAATAGGTTTCTCTTTCAATGAAAGAATTTGTTATCATCTAAAAGTATCTATCTTCAAGTCAGTTTTACTTTTGATATTGAATAAAACCTTGTAAGTATATCTTCTTCACTTCACATGTGCATGCATGTGCGTGCAAACTAGCACACTCCAAAGGAAGGGAGCAGGGACATTCATGGAGCTCTTCCTTCGTGGCAGACACTTTAACAGCACCACCTCATGTAGCTTCCTCACAGCACTATGGGACTGGTAGTACGACCCCTCTTAACAGATGGGGAAAGCAGCTCAGCAAAGTGAAGGAGCAACTATGGTCACATACCCAGCGAGAGGCAGAAGCAGAATGGATCAGGGATGTCTGACCCCAGAACCACGTTCTTTCCACTGTGCCCCACCAAGGAACACAGACAGGGGGTACAGGAAGGCAGCTTCATGGAACTTCCAACAGGAGACAGAGCACCCGGTAACCAGGGATACGTGCTTTCCCACCCCCTACCCTTCTTCCTTGTACAAGGCTTCTGCTGCTTTCCAACAGGACACAGTTGCTCAGCTGGAGAGATAACAGCTCACTGCCACTTAAGTCTGCCCTATCCCCACCGGCCAGCTCCTTCAGTGCCATTTTTGTTTTGTTATTGTTTTTTTGGCTTTTTTTTTCTTCTCTCTCTCCCTTCCTTTCTCTCACCCAGCTAGTCCTGTGTGCCATCCTCGCCCCTTCTTGACAGGCTGTGCTACACTGCTTGGCTAGAGAGCCACCAACACGGCCTCCCTGGTTCTGTGCCACCCCTACCAGTTGGGTCCCTCAGCAGTATTTTCTTTTTTTGATATCTTCTCTCTCCCTTCCTTCCTTTTCTTTCTCCCATCCACCTAGCCCTGCGTACTGCCCCCATCCCTTCCCGATGGGCAGTGTTGCACTGCTCAGCCAGACAGCCACTGGCACACAGCCTCCCCGGATCCACGCCACTGTCACCGACTGGCTCCTTAAGCACCATATTTTTCCTTTGTTTGTTTCTTCTCTCTCTATCCCTTTCTTCCTTGCCTTTCTCCTGTCCACCTAGCCCCCTGTGCCATGCCTGCCCCTTCTAGAAAAGCTGTGCTGTGCCGCTTAACTAGAAAGCCACCAGCACACAGCCTCTCTGGTTCTGCGCCACCCCCACTACCTGGCTCACTCAGCGCCATACTTTTTTAGTTTGTTTGCTTTGTTCTTTCTTTTTTCCCCCTATTTCTTCTCTCTCTCACTTCCTTCCTTTTCTTCTCCCACCCACTATGCCACCCTTGCCCCTTCTCAAAAGGCCATGCTGCACCACGTGGCTAGAGAGCCACTGGTAATGGCCTCCCGAGGTCTGCACTGCCATCACCGATAAGCTCCCTCAGCGCCATTTCTTTTTTTGTTGTTGTTATTTCTTCTCTCTCTCTCTCTCCCTTCCTTCCTTTCCTTTCTCCTGCCTGCCTAGCCCTGAGCACCACCCTTCCCCCTCTTCTCGATGGGCTGTGCTGTACCGCTCAGCTAGAAGAGCCTCCAGCACACAGCCTCCCCAGGTCTGTGCCACCCACAGTCTGGCTCCCTCAGCACCATGTTTTTTATTTTTCTTTATCTTTCCCCTTCTCCCATTTCCTTCTCCCTCCCACCTAGGCCCTGTGCTGCTTCCGCCCCTTCCTGATGAGCCATGCCGTGCCACCTGACGAGAGAGACATTAGCTCACCACCACGTTGATTACACCCTGCCCCCACGAGCCAGCTCCCTCAGCATCATATTTATTTATTTTTTGTTGTTGTTGTTTCTGCTGCTTCTCTCTCTTTTCTTTTTCTCCCTTCCTTTCTCCCACCCACATAGCCCCATGCACCACCCACTTCCTTTCTTAATAGGCTGAGCTGTACCACTTGGCTAGAAAGCCACTGGCACACGGCCTCCCTGGGTCTGCCCCACCCCCATCCACTGAATCCCACTGAGCAGCCATTTTACTTATTTATTTTTCTTCATTTTTTTTTGCTTTTTTTCTTCTGTTTCTCTCTTCTTTCTCTCACCCACTTAGCTCAGTACATCATGTCCTCTCCCTTCTCTCCTGCCTATCTGCACTGTGAACTGAGCACTGCACTCCTGAGCAGCACCGGCACAGACCCCCGGACCCTGATCCACACTGCCCCCTGGTCCCACCCCATCAGCCCCAGTTCATGCAGCATACGACCAAACCCTGCCCCCCCCCACTGGACCTGCCCTGCTGCACCAAGGCTGAGCGACCAGCCCAGCCCACCTGGACAAGGTGGTGAGAAATATTATGCCCACAAACAAGCAACAAAACACACCCAACCCACCTGCCCAGACATAACCAAATAAAACAAAAACATCAGACAAAACAAACATCTACAATCAATCAATGAAGAAAATAATTCCTGAATGTTCTGGAGACAGCAGACGATATCAAAACATGAAAAAACAGAGCAGAATAGCTCTAGAAAGTGACCAAAATAAAACACCAGATGACCCTCCAGCAGAAGAAAAGGCACTGGGACTACCTGATAGGGAATTCAAAATTCTAATATTCAGGGCTCTCCAAGAGATTAGGAAAGAGATGAAGGAAAACGCAGACAAAAATAAGGAAAAAATAGACAAAATCAGGGAAAACACAAAGTAATGGAAAAATTCAGGAATACAATACAAGAACAAAATGGCAAAATAAATAAACAACTAGAAATAATACAAAAACAGCAATTAGAAATCCAAAAGATAAACAAGATTTCAGAAATTGACAGCACAAGAGAAGGTTTTGGGAGCAAATTTGAAACAACAGGAGACAGGATCAGCAAAATTGAAGACAAATCCTTGATACTACTTTGTTAGAGGAAAAATCAGAGAAAAGAATGAAGAAAAATGACAAAACCTGAGAACTATGTGGGATAAAATCAAAAGCAAAAATTTGCATGTGATCAGAGTTCCAGAACGGGGAGAAAACAGAAAATGCAGAGAGATTCATTGAAGATTTGCTGACAGGAAACTTCCCTAATATCATGAAAGATGAAAAGCTGACCATCCAACAAGCTCAATCAACCCCATATAGGAGAGACCTCAGAAGAAAGTCACTAAGACATATCATAATCACACTCACCAAAACCAAAGACAAAGAAAAAATCCTGAGAGCAGCTCAAGAAAAATGAAAAGTCACATACAAAGGGAAAACAATAAGACTAAGCTCTGATTACTTAGCAGAAACCACGCAGGCAAGAAGGCAAGGAGATGACATATATAAGACCTTGAAAGAAAAAAATTGCCAACCAAGAATAATACATCCTGCAAAACTCACTCAAATATCATGGTGAAATTAGGACATTTCCAGATGAACAGAAATTAAGGAAATATGTAAAAGCCAAACCAAACTTAACAAATATTATTAAAGGGAGTCCTTCAGTTAAAGAACCAACAACACAGCAGACAACCAACCTGAATCTAGGACACAGGACAGAATCAGCCAGATATCCACCTACATAATGAACTCTCAAGGATAAAATAAAACTAAAAGATTTACAACAGAAAACCAGGAAGGTCAATCTGTAAATGACAACGTCAGAATAATAAAAGAGGGAATAAACAGTGTAGGTATAGAACTTTCAAATGGAGAGGAAGTCAAGGCATTATCAAGTAATAAAAGACTGGTTTAAACTTAGGAAGATAGGGGTAAATTTCAAGGAAACCACAGAGAAAGTTAACAAATCTACTGATCAAAATAAAGAAGAAAAACATAAACTCTCAGTAAACACAAAATTAACAAAAACAAAAGAAATGTAAAAGAAATCCACAAACAAAAGGAATTTAGCACAGGAGAGTAAGAGGAACAAAGAAAACATCAGTACCACAAAAAAAAGTACTACTAAATGACAGCAATAAACTCGCACTTGTCAATAATCACACCGAATGCAAATGGCTTAAATATACCCATAATGAGACAGAGAATGACAGAATGGATAAAAAAATAGGACTCATCAAAATGCTGTCTATGAGAGTCACACCTTAGAAACAAAGACATAAATATATTAAAACTCAAAGGACGGAAAAAATATATCAAGCAAATGGCAACCAAAAAAGAGCAGGAGTAGGAATACTAATTCTCAGATAAAATAGACTTTAAAACAAAATAAAATGAGTTTGATAATTACTTCTCGAGATTCTCCCAGCTCTAATATTTTATGATGCTATGAAGAACTTCCTTCAGCTCTCTCCCCAAAGTGTTATATTTTGTAAAGAGGATGCTAACTGTGACTGTTACCTCCTGTTTGCACCCCAGGTCTATGCTCTGCCCTTCTCCATCTGCTTTCTGCCCAGAGGCCTGACCTATGAAGACAACACCAACAGGTTCCTTTGTACCCTGGATTGATAAAAGGGAGAAGGTCTCCATGAGATGGGGGGTGGGCGGAAAATTGTGAGGGCAGAGGATCTATTCCCCAGCTCCCTTCTTGCAGAGTCCTGTGGGTTGGCTGTGTGCCTCCACTGAAGGACACTGAGCAGCTTATTAAAGTAGCTTCTCTACATGTCTCTCTCCTCCTGAGTCTGCCTTCTGGTTCCTCTCCCCTAAGACAGTGCTGCTTTTTTAGAAGTACTTTACTCCTTCACTTGTGCACCAATAAACTCTATTAAAATGTTAAGTTTTTTCTCCCCCCACATATGGTCCTTATAATTTTGGAAGATGGATTAAAAAGTCAGCCAAGGCTAGAGGAACTCAATAGCCAATCTTAAGATTTGTGTAAAAGCTTAGTAGTTATAAGGGTGAGACCAACTTTACAATAAATTAATGACAAAGAAATATTTTCTTTCAAAGGTTCTCAGTTGAGTCATGTTAGGTATATAAAATGTACAGCTAACTGACTGTATCAATGAAATGATGCAAATTCAGATAAATTTCGTAAT